GGACCACGCGCTAATGCTTAATTTACACTAAGCAATTCGGGACACATGTTTAACTGCTTCTTGGGATATTCTTGGTTGAATCTACTTACTGTTTACCTTTGTCTATCTATCTATCTATCTATCTATCAATCTATCTATCTATCTATCACGGATGTTCATGTAGTTGTTTACTTTATCCTCGTATATAAAAAAAATACAACTTTTTTTTTTAGCCCAGCTCCTGAAGTTTATGGCGTCCTCGTGCATTAGTACTTACCATGAACTATATACCAGGCATATATAAAGTACAATATATGGTTATTACTGTATATGATGACACGGGATATATATACTAGAATACGAATATACACACAACGGATATATGGAATAATTTACAAGAGACGTAACACAAACCAAATAATAATCTCAATTCTAAGTTTTTTCTTAGTTTATTGAATTTTTGTTTTGTAGTTTAGACCAATTCTGAGACATTTTAGTGTGATTAGATCCGCCACGAGATGTCAGGAGTTTAAACACACGATGATAACACAAATACAATAGCGTTACGTATGTTATTGCCAATTCCTTTTTGGAGTTGTTGAATTTATCGTCCATTACTCCTGGGTTGTAATGTTGAATACATCTCTCTCTAGTATTTCAGCGTCGAGGAATTTCCCTGAGAGAGGAACAACTAACAGAGGCTATCGAGAGACATACATACATACACTCATATACATACGTACATATACTGTATATATACATCCCCCCCCAAAAAAAAAAGAATACATTTTAACTTCCCTCACTTTCTTCTTTACTCTGCATTAAGAAGTCAATATATATATCTGGTCCTTTATTTCTCTTCAGCTGTGTGCATTAAGTGTGTCTACAGCCAGAAGAAAGTGTTTTAGAAGTGACACACACGCGCACACACACACACACACACACACACACACACACACACACACACACACACACACACACACACACACACAATACACGCACACACACACACACACAATACACGCACACACACACACACACAATACACGCACTCCAGCTAACCTTTAACGACCAAACGTAAAATCTTTTATCGATCTCGTGTCGATGGAGCTGAGAATAAGTTGTGTATATATATAAAAAAAACCCTGCAAGAGAGAATTTATTTGTTATGTTTCCCTGGGTGTAAATTTAATCGTAAATAAACATATATGAATACACACATCAGAGAGTAAAGAGCTTAGGTTATAAATAACCTTTTGCTGGTGGCGGGAAATACGATGTTTTCCGAAGAGTATAAATTCTGCATTATAGGAACGTTGTTGTTGTTTGTTGTTATTGTAGTATATTGTTGTTGTTGTTGTTTTAGATTTAGGTGCTTTTACTGTCAGGGTTATTAAGGGTCACTAGTTTCACATCTTATATTTATGGAACTCGCGTCTGACTTTAAAAAATAATAATATGTCAACTGGCAGCCAGACAACGAGTAGGGTGCTGATACTAACACACACACACACACACACACACACACACACTAGTCAATTCAGGAGAGATTCAGACCAACCCACACGAATTAGCAGTGATGAGACAGCTCCCAATACAGATCACATGAAGAATAGCACATCCCAGTTTATTTCACCTGAAGAATAGCACATCCCAGCTTATATCACCTGAAGAATAGCACATCCCAGCTTATATAACCTGAAGAATAGCACATCCCAGCTTATCTAACATGAAGAATAGCACACCTCAGCTTATATCACCTGAAGAATAGCACACCTCAGCTTATCTAACATGAAGCATAGCACATCCCAGCTTATTTCACCTGATAATTAAACACTCGAACACTACCTGGTGAGGGGAGGGGGGGGTGGGGTACAAAGGTCAACATTAGGGTAGTTAATCTTAAGGTGAAATAAGCAGGGAACTAATCTCCAGGTGATCCCCCCCCAATACTGTACTAAATCACACACCAGACAGCCCACAGTTACTTCAAGGCTTCAGGACAACCTACCGTACATAAATTAGCCGAATCTATATGAATCGCCTTCCGAACGCCTGATCAACGCTGCGACACTCCAGAGAGAAAGACCAGCCCGAGAAAATCTTTGTGCTGTTTCTACCACTTCACCCAACCTCTTTTTCGCACAGTTCCGAGTCTCACATTATGCAAATACATTCCAAAGCAGAGTTTCCCTTCTCATGAAAGTTTTATTTTTATAATAAAATTCTGCAATGCAAATTAATGTCTCCTTCATGGCGTAAGAGGACAGCTTATGTTAACAAGCAGGGGGAGAGGGAGGGGAGATGTACACTGGTATGTCACTAAACACACTCAGCTGCCAAGTGACGGCTGTGGGTATGAGGTATGAGGTTCTTAAGGGTGTGGGTATAAGGTTCTTAAGGGTGTGGGTATCGGGTATAAGGTTCATGAGGGAGTGGGTATGAGGTTCTTAAGGGTGTGGGTATCGGGTATAAGGTATCAGGTTCTTGAGGGAGTGGGTATGAGGTTCTTAAGGGTGTGGGTATCAGGTATAAGGTTCATGAGGGAGTGGGTATGAGGTTCTTAAGGGTGTGGGTATCGGGTATAAGGTTCTTGAGGGAGTGGGTATGAGGTTCTTGGGTACGAGATAAGTGGTTTTTGTGGATATGAAGTACGGGCTTCTTGACAAGTGGTTCTTATTGGTGTAGGTTTGTGGCACGTGGTTCTTGTGTCTTTGTAGAGGCTGGTATGAGGAACGTAAGAACATAAGAATGGGGGAAACTGCAGCGGGCCGGGCCTATTGACCCATACTGAGCAGTCCCATTTACACCCAACCCCTATTGCTCATATATCCATCCAACCCATGTTTTAAGCTATCCAGCGTATGTGAGAGAGAGAGCGAGCCAGCTTTACTTCCCCCACTCTACGCTACTCTATCTCTCTCCCCCACCAAACAAACAATCAAGCCACGCTGACAAAAACAAATACAGCCCCTCCCTCCCCCCTCAGCATCACTCTATACTGTTACATATCAAGGTATATATACACGTTTCTCTCGTGTTTAAGCCCCACTACACAACTTCTTTCTCTCAGATGTCTTGTCTAACTATATAAACACGGGGAAAAGGTGACTCCACTCATCACCCTCATCCTTGGCTGAAAATATTCTTACATTACTTATTAGTTAAACATACACAGGGACTTAGATACCCAGGTCGTTATCGTAAGAGTATGTGGTTACGACATTCACGATAGCAAGTTTAATATCGGGAAAATACAGTGAAATCTCCATATGGCGGATTTTCCTCTCCCCATATAATCAGTAAGATGGAGTTTTCAAATATAACGAATTCTCGATATAACGAACTTTCCATCTAGATATAATCCGTGAGATAGGGGGTTCACATCTAAGGGACCCTCGATATAACGAACTTTCCATCTCCATATAATCCGTTAAATAGAGATTTCACTGAACAACAACTTTCAACGATGATATTTAACTAAAGGTCATCACTGTTAAAAAGTAATACCATCAAACTAATTATACTTTTACCCTGTAGAGCCGAATAGTTTTGACACCCAGATTAAAAATTTCATCATCCTATTTATCAACAACACATTATACTCAGACCTCAAACACAAGACTCAATAACATCCACATTAATAGCGAGTTTACCCTTTGTTTTTAATGATAATATTAACATCACAAACGACAAATACGAAAACCAAATCATTACAGTAGAGATTCCATTACGACGGCTTATCATACCTTGGAATCAATTAACCTGGGGAAACTTGTGTACCCGCGTAATATTATTCTGCGTTGCATTTTTATCTCCCCACATACAGATATAAAAGGATTGTATATGTTTACTTTCTGTTCAGGAGTGGTAGACATTGAAACGAGTCGAAGAGATAATTACGGTAGTTTGGGTCAATTTGTTTTGTTTAATGGTGGATAATCGACTTTACCGGTGAATAAAATGGTCTAATGTAATAGTTAATGTATTTTCTTTATTTTTTTTCATTATCATAACAAGAATACATTAAAGCTCTTGTTTACGTTCTGTCTACACCTCAGTCGTCTATTTACAACGTGCAAGTTAAACAAACAACAAACAAACAAACAAATGCTTCCCACACAAGACATTCATTAGAGATCACAAAGGCACAATTAACGCCTCCACAACACCTACAACACAAAACACATCTTCACAACACAACAGCATAACAGCATATACGCTTTAACATCACAACGCCAGCTTGTATAGAGAAAATTCCAAGCATAAACTATAGCACACGAAGCATCTGGCTAAAGTCAACAACATGAACTAAGATTTACAAAGACTCACAAAAAGCGTAAGTTAAATTTTCCTCTTAAATGTAAACGTAGGATCACAACTATTCTACTTGAATGACTTAAAAAAAAAAAGACATTGAAATCACAAGAGTCTACTATGAATAGATACGTTCCCCCTAACATTAATTTGAAGACAAAATATTAACACAGAATAATTTGGTGAATCCTGACTCGAACACACACTACAGCTTCCAACACCACTCTTCAATTACCAAGGAACAAAAATAAACAATTCTATTCGACGTATTGATAATTAAACCCATACCTTCATTCTTAAACACTAATTACAGGTAAGTACAGTAACTCATATACTGTATCGTGTACCAACTTGTAATAAGGCTGTGGGTTTATTTGCATTAAAGATCAAGAGTAATAATACCTGGTGATGCCTTAATGGCCATACCTGTTAAATAAGACTCGGATATACTGGTTTTACCCGAGTCTCGTGTACCCTGTGTTAAGTGAAGTTAAAGGCCATTGAACTGATACGCAGCGCGACAATGAACATGACAATATCGAACCTGATTTGAAATACACTGCACATATATTTCTGAATTTCCACAATAACTGAAACCATAACAATCACTAGGTATTTTTTTTTACTAATAATATAATAAGTTTAATATCTAACATTAACTAGATTATTAAAAACAGAGAAAAACACATTTAAAATATCCTTACCTTACTCCTCAAACGCGACATAAACAATAGTCCTTGTATCCATCATCCTCGATACACACAAGCCATCGTTACTCTTCAATTTAACTTATATATTTTTCAAACTAAAAAAAAAATATAGGCCAAGTGTGTAAATGAAAAAAAAAACACTAATACAACTCCATTCACTCACAAAATCACTTTTCAGTTTCTAATGAAAAGCTGTCATGATCACCAAACGCGAGCGTATAAAGGGAGGGAAGGAGCTATCTCAGGGATGCACTGGTGAAGAGCGGCACAGACCACTCGCTATGAGGTCTCGCACTCGACTGAAGCTGAGCTGTTTGGTGGAGCGAATCAGTTGGGTTATCCCGCCACCCACAGTTGCCAGCTATCCCGCGCTGGACTCTTTCCCTCCTCCCCTTGATAATGCACTCGCTTCCCAATTTTTAAGAATAGACTTACCAATACACTTTAGCCGGGATAATACAGGTGGGAGGTTTGCATTAATTAACCGTGATATTATTCCTCGCCTCCTGTTACTCCGTCCTCACCTGGGCATCAAGGTATTTATTAAAAACAAATCCTTGTATTTTTTTCTTAGTTGAAGCTCGATAATTGTAGCATTCTTGTGACTTTTCATTACGTAATATATATAATACTTTCACCTATAAAAAACCCTAATGAATAATACTTAAATCTTTCAATTACCATAACAATTAATTACTCATTCTACAATAATCAACACTAGCAAATTAATTATACTTTCCCAACACCTACGAAAGTTTGAGAACAATGTGTCAGGCCGAGGTAGTAATTTTGTGTAGCGTTATGACAACAAACAAACAATACTTTTCCGGGAATATTTTTATGCCATATTGAAAAGTTTTGAAGAAAGGGCAAAAGTTTAGTGTCAAGACTTCACTGGATTATTGTTGACGAATTTGTCTAGGATAAAAAAGTTCACTGGATTGAAAAGTTATATTTTCCAAAGTATAAAATATTCCAGCTTTTTTTTAAGTCATTTCATCTATTTATTCTTTTCAATACTTAAGTTAGTTTAATCACCTGTGTTTTTTTAGTCATGTTTTATTTATTTAATAGTTTTCTCTTTATCAACTTGAACGTAACTAAGTTTAATTCTTTTATATCTATTCATTTGTAGTTTTAAGAGTTTATCCATATTATTAATAATTCACGATGTGGTTTATTTTTTAGTGCATTTGGTTTAATTTTCATCAATTTACAATATTTACAGTTTTATACCGCTGCGTTAATTCTTTATTTCAAACAATTTATTCCTAATTTGTTCATAATATCAGATCACCTGAACATTAATCACTCTAACACTAACCTAACCTAACCAAAATAATGCTAGGCTCGTATCTGCTCAAGTAAACACCGCCGCCCATACCTGGTGGTCAGTAGCGAAACTATATTAAAGAGTCACGCCCACACTCTTAATTGCCAGCACAGTATTTATCGTTGATGACTAACCTACATTACTCGCCAGACCTTAGTTGTTGAAGCGCTGTGACGCATAATAAAAATAATAATAATAATAACAATAATAATAATAATAATAATAATAATAAAAATAATAATAAAAATAATAGTAATAATAATAATAATAATAATAGTAATAATAATAGTAATAATAATAGTAATAATAATAATAATAATAATAATAATAATAATAATAATAATAATAATAATAATAATAATAATAATAATAATAATAATAATAATAATATCTCAAAAGCTCGTATCTTAAAGATTTGTCTTCGGGAGTTGGGAGAACGTATCTAACAGAACCATTTAAGTTACAGCGCCAAGTCCGAGACCAAAGTTTCATTGAACTTTCATTGTTGCTCTGTCACACTCAGCCTCGTTCTCTTATCTCCAGGTAAAGAAAATATTAAACGCACGAGCCATTGAGAGTTCTGGCTTACCGCTTTAACTGCAGATGTTGACGCGTGATAAAAAAAAGTGCTTCTCGTTAACGCTAAGTAATGAAGATATTTAAACAGTAAGAAGCAACACAAGTCTTTCAGTATCTTGCAATAGAGTCAGGTGCTTCAACTCCTTAGATTATGAAGCACCGAGGACGATTCATATCGTATTTTATAACAGGACAAATGCTTCAACTGTCAGGGTTATGAAGCAACAAACACGATTCACTTAGTATTTTACAACAATAATAAGTGCTTCAACTACCACGTTTATAATGAAGCACACAAATCATTTATAATTCTACAACAATAACTACTTCAACTACTAAGGTTAAGAAGCACCAAGCAAGTGTTCGTTTAGCACCTAACAACAAACAAACATTCCAAAATATAAGGCAGGACTAAGCCATACCATTGTTACCACCTTGAGACACATTTCCAATAACCCCATTACCATTGACTCTATAAGCTACTGTTAACTTAATGCTGTTTTCATTTTACGGTGAACTTATAAACGAGAGAACTTCACCACCTTAGCATTTTCTTTTTAATATTAGACCAGATTTTGTTGAACATTTTTTTTGTTATATTTGTAAATTCTAAATCTTAATATATACATAAATTCTAAATCATGACATTAATAGACATAAATTCTAACCCATGATATAAATAGGCATAAATTCTAACCCATGATATAGACGTCAACTCTAAACCATGATATAAATATCCAAATCCTAAACCATGATATTGACAAATCCTAAACCATGATAGACATAAATTCTAGCTCATGATTTAAATACCTGGACGATTTTATTCAGCTCAGAGGGGAACCCATACACACGGGGCCAATATTCGTACAGAGACAAAATTACAAAAAACAGGATATCTTACAAAAAATGACTGTACTATGTAATGTTCTCTCCGGACAGGTGCTATAGGGAGGTACAGGTATCTAATTAAGGTAAGACTCAGTTCGGGTAAAGTTGAAGCTAATTTTTGTAAGTAATTTTTGTGGGTCAGCTCAAGTTAGGTACAACTCTTTTCATCTTCTCACATGAGGAATATTTACGGTAGTGACTTTTGTGAATTCGGGTAGGGGTAGGGTAGGGTAGGTAGGGTAGGGTAAGGGTAAGGTAGGAGTATAGGGTAGGGCAGGGGTATAGGAGGGTAGGGTGGGGGGTTAGGGTAGGGTAGCAGTTAGGGTAAGGTAGGTAGGGTATAGGTAGGGTAGGGTAGGGTAAGGTAGGGTAGGGTAGGGTAGGGTAGGGTAGGGTAGGGTAAGGTAGGGTAGGGTAGGGTAGGGTAGGGTAGGGTAAGGTAAGGTAGGGTAGGGTAGGGTAAGGTAAAGGTAGGGTAGGGTAGTTTGTTAGGTTAGGTTAGATAAGGTTCTGTTCGGTTAGGTTAGCACGCAGAAACGTTAAGGTAGAATTTGCTGTACTATTAATCCAGTTTTGTACCACACACACACACACACACACACACGTACACGCGCACACACACACACACACACAGGTAAAAAACAACTCCTCGTGATGTTAAGCAAATTTGAGATTTATGCATAGGTATATACTGACCAAAGTTAACTCCAGGTGTTATCTTACAAGGTATATCTTCCCCTTGTGTTTCAGGCCTTCAACTACTGCCTTGTATCACTCCTATAACACATCACCTGAAGTGTAGTTTTAATTCTAATTTCTATGTCAGTTCAATCTTTCCCTGACATATTAATTAACTTGGTAATTAAAATCTTCAGTGTTTGATGATAAAAGTAATGTTAATTTATGGTGGAAATAAATTCAATTGTGTCGAACAAATAAATGGATCTTATTCTAGATTTTAATTTGAATGAAGTTTGTTTCCTTGATTCAGATCCTGAGGCAGTGACAAGTGTGTGTGTGTGTGTGTGTGTGTGTGTGTGTGTAGCGACGACTTAGCCACTCAACCGTATATATACATATATTTTTTGTTCTTTAACCCTTCAACAATCTAGTACAACCAAAACACCAATGAAAAGATATAGTATTTTAATTCACTAAGACTCTCTGTGTTAATGTGTTCTCTTACCTGATGCCGAGTACATGTTTTTATTTAAGTAAGAGTCCTTTTTATATAAATAAGAGTCCTTTTTATTTTAGTAAGAGTCTTTTTTATCTAAGTAAGTCTTTTTTAATTTTAGTAAGTCCTTTTTTATTTAAGTAAGTGTTTTTTATTTTAGTAAGAGTCTTTTTTATTTTATTAAGAGTCTTTTTTTATTTAAGTAAGAGCCTTATGTGTAATTGCTGTTCGTGTATCTTAACTTACGAGGGAAAATTTCACACATGATAATATTGTTTTAAGAATAAATTTATGAAAGATATGGAGTATTTTTTCAGTGATAAAATTAGTTAGAAGAGAAAGTATAGATACTGAAACATTAAGGACTTTGAGAATGTCTAGCCTGACCCAACCTAACGAAATCTAGCAATATTGACTTGGCTTACATAACATAACCTAATCTAACATAATTAACTTACCAACTCAACAACCAACTCTAATTAAATTTACTTGCTAACCTAACATAACCTAATCTAACATAATCTAGCGACAAAGACAAACAAGTAAACACCCCCACAAACACATATAAGTACATAGACAAACAAAGAAAGACCAATACACAAACACACCCTCGGTCATTACCTCAACTTACATTCATAGTTAAGAAAATAAAAAATAAAAAATTACCTTCTCTTTACATCACTAATAATGAACACACAACAAAATATTTTCGTTCGGCCAAAAGTTACAGATTGTTCTCAGGTTAAATAAAAGGCTGTTATAAAAAGTTTGTTTCTATCTTGTGAAGGAACAACAGTGAAGTTTACAAGAGATAACACACAAGTTTCAGGTGAGGGTTTTGTAAAGGTTTCCTCTGCCCAAAATACCTATTGTTTACACAGACGAGAAGCTGTAATAATAATAATACCGGTAATACCTCAAATAATAATAATAATAATAATAATAATAATAATAATAATAATAATAAAACTCAATAATAATAATATTAATAATAATAATAATAATAATAATAATGATAATAATAATAATAATAATAATAATAATAATAATAATGATAATAATAATAATATACTAATAATAATAATGATGATAATTATAATAAAAACTAATAAAAAAAAAATAATAATAATAATAACAAAAATAATAATAGTATCAATAATAATAATTAAAAAAATAATATTAATAATAATAATAATAATTATAAAAACTAATAATAATAATAATAATAATAATAATAATAATAATAATAACAATAATAATAATAATAATAATTATAAAAAGCTAATAGTAATAATAATAATAATAAAAAT